GAGCACCCAGTGCAGAGTGAGACCAACCCACTGTCCCCCAGGCTGCAGACAGAGCAATCTCCAAGAACCCTCCTGCAACACTGGCTCCCAGAGAGACTAATATGAAAGATTTCCAAGTCCAAGGGAGCTTGGACAATTCATTTAAGCTGTTTTACAATATTTAAAGAATTAGAGAAAGATGCAGAAAGTCCACAGTCCCTCTCCCAGCCCAGGGTAAAGTCACCGTGCAGAACTGTCCCACACGACACATCTCCTCAGAGGCTGTTCCCACAAACATGCAGATATGGGGCAGGAGAAATTTTTTGGCCAGGACACGAAATACAGCAGAGGTCTAAAGGGGATAGAGAGCAGGGACTGTTTGAAGCCCCACATACCTGTACAAAGCCTTGCCAAGCTCAGTCTAGGTCAGCCCAGCACCAAGCAGGGCCATCACCCAACTCCCAGAGCGGCATAAAAGCAAGCAGCATTTGCATCTGTCAGGGTCAGCCCATTTCATGCCCATACACTGGGAATTGTCGTTGACACCTTCAACTACCCAGGGGCTCAGGAGCCCCCAGCCACCAGGGATCAGCCAAACTCATCACACCAGCAAGCATCAGAGTCCTCTGGAGGCCTGGTCCCTGCTGCAAAGCACTTGCTCCATCACAGCCACGGCAGACCCTGCACCCTGCTGTTTTACTACAGCTCTGACAGCCTCACAGACACTCACTCCTTGTTTTACGGATGGAAATACAAAGGCACACAGCTGGTTTGGCATATGTAACCCCCTGGAGAACCAAACCGAGCGCTTTCCCTTAGCTTGGCATCTTTACCAAACACTCCCCGGGTCATTACCTGCCTGAACTCGTCTCAAGCAGCCGAAGGCAGATGCTGGGGCCACCCAGCTCAGACCCAGCACTCAGCGCTGTTGGGCCCCAGTCAGACCCAGGAGGGGTCAGGGGACGCGGTGTGGCCGGCAGATGGTGGGTCGGGGAGTGCTGGAGCCCCACACGGTGCAAGCTGCCAGCAGCAGAGCCTCCTCGGACGGGAGAGCAACTGCATCTGCAGCAGAAGGAGCTGCCAGGGACAAGCCAGATGAGAGAAGGCCTTTAAAGGAGATGCACAAGAGCAGCTGGGAGCTCCCTGTGCCGGCTGGGGCGGGTGGAGTGGGCTGCAGGTGGTCAGGCGACCTCTGCTTTCGGTGAAAGGCCAGTTTCTGCACCCACTCTTAGGAGGTGACAGAGCTGGAAAAAACTACGACTGCTCCCTCTGTGCTGGCTGTCTGTAGAGCAGAGTAGTCCTGAGCAGGAGGCTCAGGGCAGGGTGGTGGCACTCAGGACCTCCACAGAGATGGGGGATCCCCCCATGCTTTCATGGGGGCTCAACACCAGGCTAAACCAGGATGGCTGATAAGGAACTCCTGTAGCATTGTATTTGGTGATGCAGGGAAGCCATTCTGTCCAGGCCCCCTACTCCTCCTGCCCCTCTCAACAGCCCTACTTTCCCACCAGCCATCACCCTACTGCCCCTTCCCCTGCCCAATCACTTTACTCAAATCCATCACATCCTCTAAATCAGCTTTCTTGCCCTAATGAGCTTACACAGAGTCAGGCTCGATGCTCAGCACTACCAGGCTAAGCAGGCAACTGCTGTTGTCCCCCCCTTCGTGCCCAAGGGACTCTGATGTACCCCAAGGAACAATGCAGCCCCTTGGGGTCTGCAAACCTCTAAGCCTTGAGAGGGCAAACAGCATCTCCCAGCCCCGGGGCAGACCTGGCCCAGCCTCTGCCCTGCCTGCCAGAGCAAGAGGCCGGGGTGTGGCCCCAGGGCTAGAGGTCACAAAACAAGGGGGGTGGAGGACACCTTTGCACAGAGCCCCAGCTTGGTCCCCCAGAGCAGCCTGGCACCAGATCAGGCTCTGTGGTCTCTGCTCCAATGTCCTGCAGGTCCACAGCTGCAGCAAGGCGCTCCAAGGACACAGATCTAAGGACACCATCACACTAGCTCCCCTATTCCCTCCCACACTCTGGGCAGGGTTAATAAGAGACAGTGCCCCTCTTTGCGAACCATCCCATTCAAAGAGCCTCTAAAATCATTTACTAAAAGTACCCATGGATTTTTATCAATTCTTATTTTTAGCCTCAGAGCATTTAAGTCGTAATTACAATCCAGGTATCATAGAGCCTGAAACAAGAAAAAGCAGCCCAGCTCCCCTCACACAGACCTGTTCAGTGGGAATGAGCAAGACCCTGCTGGGAGTTCTCCAGCCCGGGCAGGTGAGCACGTGGCTGTGGGATCTGGCTTTGCCCCCTGTTCTCCTTCCAGCGAAGACCCTCCAGCGACGCAGCAGCTACTGCGACAGCATCTTCCAGGGTTCCTGCCAAAGCTGAGCTGAACTTGCAGCTCAGATCACAGAGACTCTGGTCATCTGGATTATCCACTTCTTGGAAGAAAGCTGCTCAGACCGACACCGGCTGCTACTGCTGATGTAGCAAGTGTGATTTATTAGGTCTGTGCAGGGGCCCAACAGTATAACAACAGCACAGCCCTACCGCAAAGTCACCTTTCTGGGGCCCTGGCTCCTCAGCCGACAGGCACCTGGCAGCCACCAGACTACCCAAGGGAGAACATGGTTCTCTTCCTATGATAAAAAGGTGGTTGGCAAAACAACAGATGAGAAGGAAAAGTGTTCTTTTTATTTTTTTTAAATTCTATTTATTATTTATTCAGTTTTAAATTCTAAGTTAAAAAAAAAATATTGCTGAGCCTTCCCCAAAGCACTTCAGTCTCACATCTGGGTGTCACAGCTCCCAAGTTTCCATGCAAAGCTGCATCAGCATGTTGGCGATTACACACAGGCATTAACAGGCTGTCACTGGACACACAGTTACCTCCAGGGAGAAGCAGGGTGACTATCAGCCCTCGACACTGCTGCAAGAGGGTGACACAGCAACTACCTGGACATGCCTGCAGCTCATGCTTGGAGAGGGGTAGCCGCTTGGGAATGGATATGGACCATTTTCAGGAAAGCCACTGAGTTTCAGCCCTTTCCAACAAGGTGCTGCATGGCCTAAGGCTTCTCCAGGGCTCTGATGTCTGGTGTTTAATATCTGTGGATGCAGTGTTCGCACACACATCTCTGCCCATCCCAAGGAGGTTCTCTGCTGCCTGATCATGGCACCATGATAGCACCTGGGGAGCGGAGAGATCATCTTGTCATGAAACTGGTTCAAAAATCACTGTGGAGGATGTGGAGGCAGCATAGTGGACAGATAACCCATGCAATGGTATATTATGAATTTCCTTTAAAAAAACTGAAGAACTGTTAGGCCAAAAAGGGAATTCCCCACTGTACTATGAAGGAGGTAAATCTCTACAGAAGAGGAAGCAATCTCTTCACCAATACTGCTATTAAATCAGGACAAGGGCAGAGCCAGTCCTGGTGCTCCCTCCACCCTTGGCTAAGGTTCTGCTGAACCATAAAACCAGACAGATGTTTTATGCTGCATCCACCTCTCTGCACAGTTTAGGATGGATTTTCAAGTTCTTGAGAGGGTCAAGAGGAGTCAAAAGTAAAGTTTTCTGTGTGGGTGCTACCAACCGCCCCACAAAGAAGCAGTCTATCACCAGCATGTTTAGCGTCTCTGGGGTTTGCTCCAAATTCTCCTTACACAATTGTTATCTGCATGTACACCCCAGAGGAATCCACAGTATATGATAAGCTGCAGCCAAGAGCAAAACCAGGGCTAAGAAGGCTCCGTCCACAAGCCAGAGTAATGCTTTCCAGCAGAACAGGAATCCCCCTAGCAGTTTGCAAAGCTGATCCCTTCCTGACTATGGTTTCTTGCAAAACCCACATAAGCTGGCCCAAAGCACAGCTCCTGGTATGTCCTGACGAGTTGGAGGCACAAGCTGCAATGCAGCAGCAGCAGCCAGGAACTGTCACAATGAGCCCACTGCCTAAAGACAACACTGAGTGAGGAGTTACAAAAACAGACACCCCTTGGGGAGCAGCTGTGCACCGTGGCTGGAAAATTTCCAACCCTTTATCACTGTCCAGTCCACAGAGACACCGAGGCTTCCCCATGGAGCTCCAGGTACACACAGCATGTACATTCTCAGCAACGACACCATGAAGCTGATTGACATGAATTTTAGAGATCAGTTTGTCCTCGGTCACCTTCACATGACCGACAGCCACGACCAGATGGAGCAGTGAGGACAATGACACTGAGGTCACTTGGTAGAAGCTCTGCAGGGAAACTGCAAAGACCAGAGCCTGCTACCTAATAAAGCCAGAACAGCAGTCTCAGACCTTGATGATCATGGCACAATTTCTATTTATGTCATATTTTGGGCAGCCCTACAATAGCTTCACTATACTGAGCCACTAACTCAGTGGAATGCAAACACAGCAACAATCCAGCTCCCTGGAGGTTTCTGTCCTCCAGCTAATGCAGACTTTGAAGCCTCTTCACTCCACAGTTACCCAAAATAGCTTAAGAGATTCTTATATAAAGAAATCTGTGCTCTCAGCCTTAAGAGCATCCCCTAATGTTTCAGACTTTCCTTCCTCTTGCTGGATCTAAATGAGCAAACTTGAAGCAGTCACATGTCGCACCTACAAGTTTTAACTCCCTTTCTCTCTTTGTAGGTGTAAATGTTTATGGATTTTTAAATAGCTCCAAAAGTATGCAATGCTTCTAACCTTCATTAAAACCCTAGCAGGATCTCTCTGAGTCCATCCACTCTCTCCCATCCTTTTCCTCCCAGCTCTCAGACCAGGAGGTGCCTAATTGAGGTTTCCAGCAGGTATTTTCAAGGATACAGGATAGAACTTTGGGCACACTATAGAAGTATTTTATTTATTAGAGTATCATGAAACACTGCAACGGGAAATGTCATCATCCCTAGAAATATGTCACACACACAACAGGGTCCCTGGCAAACCAGAAAAAAATGTGGATTTAAAGCAGAAAATTCAAGCAAGAAAAGAAAATTCAAATTTCCCAGCTCTTCAGCTAAATCCCACTCTCNGAGAGCACAAGCTTGGAGTGCTGCCCTGCCAGGAGCCCACTTGAGACCCCTGGACCAGGTCCCAGGCCAGCTGCAGCCCTGGCTGCCAGCTCACCAGCCCATCTGCAGGACTCGAGCCTGGTCTCACTCACCTGGTTCTGGTACATGGTAAGCATGGACGTCACCAGCTTGGCATAGTCAAGCGATGTGGCAAAGGCTGAGGCCTGCCGGCACAGAGTCAGGACCAGGAGATCCAAGAGCTCTGGGGGGAGCACCTCCTGGAAGAAACCCAGGAGTGGGTAGGAGAACTGGTCCTTGCTCCAGTGCTGCCAGAGTCAGGAAGGAAACCTGGGGACAAGGGGTCTCCCTCACCTGCCGCCCCAGCACAGCCTGCACTACCAGCAGGAGCTTCTCTGACAAAGGCATCTCCAAGACTTGGCTAAAAGTACAGTGAAGAGAAGAGGTGCTGCCCCACGGCCTTGCTGGTGCTCCCGAGTGGCCGGAGCCAGCTGGACCCATTCAGGCAGCCACGAGGCCAAAGCAGCGCTGTTGACCCTGTAATCCCTCACCTTAGCACCAGCTGCACACAGTGTGGCTCCAGGCAGTCCTCCACAAGCTCACACACCAGCTTGGTCTGCTCAGTACCTGCAAGGGCAAGGCAGATGGGGAAAGCTTTCAAAGGCTGCCAAATCCACAGGGATGTGCCCAGCTCTTCCTAGCACCCCTTCACACAGGTGTATGCCTCAGTCAGGACAGGCAGAAACCACAGAGTGCCCCATTCTATTGTTCACGATAATCCTGCTTCCTCTGCCCACCTTCACTAAGGGTTTAAATAGCACCAGTTCCTAGGAAAAGAGGTTCATGCATGAGGAGAGGCGTTCAGCCAGCAGTTGGGAAAACTGATGCTGGAAGCTAGCCTGGCCTCCCCTCTCTCTCCATCTCAGGCATCTGTGAACCCATCTCCCACTCTAACGCAAGTGTTTGCTTGCTCAGGTAAAACCAGCCCCATGTCTCCATGGATCCTAACACATTTTCCACGTGATAAATGCCTCCCAGAAGACAGTCTCTGCAGTTGGGGCCCTTCTCCAGTTCCCACAGCCATGTCTCCCACAAGCCCACCGCACCTTTCCTTGGCTCCTGCAGGACCGCAGCCACCACCACGTGGCAGAAGGGCTGGGAATACTTGGAGCAAAATGAAGAGAGAGCAGCCATGAGGTGTCGGGAAGGTGGCTGGGTAAGGGACAGGACCTAGGGACAGAAAAGGCAGGAGGTGGGGATAGTGGAGAGGGAAATAAGGAGCAGGAAACCTCTGCTGCCCTTGCACGTACTCGCCTGAGGAAGAGCTGCTCCGCCAGGACGGCCGCGCTGGTGTAGCTGAGGTCAGGGGTGAGAGCCAGCAGCCACCTGCAGAAATGCCCCAGGAAGGGCTCTGGGCACACAGACAGCTGGAGGAAGGAGCACAGTCCTTCAAGCTGGGGATGGCAGAGAGAGTGGAACATTAAGGAGGGCAGCAGGCCCTTCACAATACTGGTGGTTGTAGAAGGGATGCTGAGACTCACCTGGCGGGGGGAGCAGTTGTTCAGGATGCACAGCTCAGGTGGGATGCTCAGCTCAGAGTGCTGGAGGGAAAACAGTACTAAGTATTGCACCAACTAAATCAACACACAATATACAGCTCCAAGGCTTTTCCCTTCCCCCCACGTCAGCCAGAGCTGTGCCCACAGGCTGCCCCTCACATGGCAACCCCTGCGAGGTGCAGGCACGTATCAGTATCCCAGCCTAGAGGAGGTGGCAGTAGAGCTTTTTATCCTTGTCCAGTCGGTCCCGTGAAACCCACCTCCTTTCCCACCCCTTTCAAGGCCCTGGCACGAGCCCATTTAGATCACTAGCTCCAGGAGACAGATAGAAGCAACCACTTACGCTGGACTGCTGCAGCAGCAGCATTTTCAGCTTCTGTCCATGCATCTGAGGGAAATGAGATGAAGGAAGGGGAATTAGCCTGTAAAGGCTCACTGTCTGGAAGGGGAAGGCAAACCCTACCCGGTACCTGGAGAAAGGCCTTGACATCTGCTGCCAGCTCTGTCTGAGCAATCTTCCTGAGCTCCCCAACTGCATCCTGCTGGGAGCTATCTGGAACAGCCCCATCTGTGCTCTCAGGACATGTATCCACTGAAGGCTCCTGAGGCACCTCCTCTTCTATCCCTCTCACATTCCCACATTCCTGGGGTCCCAGAGAGTCAAACGCCACCTTCTCCAGCAGCAACCTCTTCTTCTCTGTGTCACTGACCAACTCCACTCCCTCCTCCGACACTTTCTTGCGCTTTCCACCCTGAGGCACAGAGTCAGCTACATCTCCAGTGGCATCAGGCTGGTTACTGAAGCACCAGTTCAATTTCTTTTGCCCCTCTGGTTTGCTCTGGGCAATTTTCTGGCACAGGCACCTAAGCTGCTGCTGGCATGCAGAAGATAGTGGAGTGGGAGATGGGAAGCACTCTTCTGCTCTTAGTCCCTGCTGGAGCAGACTCCCCAGCATCCGCATCCAGGGATCCACATGGGAATCCTGTTCTATGGCCTGGAGCAGCTGGCCAAGGCAGCCCCCTGGCACTGCATCCCGTGTCACGAGGAGCAGGGAGAAGAAGTTTCTCTGGCACATGATGGGCAGCAGCAGCAGCCGTGGCTTGCTGGGTAAGGGGAGAAAAGTAAAGGCAACTTGTCACAGCAAATGTCCTCATCCTGACTCCAAGCTACCCTGTGGGTCTCACTATGGAGCAAGAGGAGGAGGCAGCTAATGCCTTCACCAGCTTTTGCAGACACAAGCTGGGAGACCAGCCGGTCACTGCTACAATCCCAGCTTCAGGCATGGACCATTGCACTGAGGTAAGTGGACACGCAGTCCCAAATAGGCACCAGACATGCCAAACCTCCCACAAAACACCAAGTTTTAGAAACGCATCCGACTCACACAGCCAGGACGCCCCGTGGCCCCTCCAGCACGGGCTCCTCGGCGCACAGGGCTGCGGTGAGGGCCTGCCAGGGGAACGCCTGTCCCGGTCCCTCGAGGGGCTGTTCCCGCTGCAGCATCCGGAAGGCGGTCAGAGCCCCGGCGGGGCCCGAGGCCAGCGCGTGGAGCAGGAGGCGGCAAGGCCGGTCAAAGCGCATCAGCCAGGGCGGGCAGCGGGGCTCCATCGCTGCTGCGGGGGCTCCACAGCCGCCTGTGAGACACGGGGGAGAGCCGGGCAGGGGTCATACGGGGAGAGGCGCGGCAGTATCAGGACACAGCCAGCCGTGCTGGGATCCGACCCCGGCGCCAGTTTCGGGGACTGCCCTTACCTGCCCTTCCCCCCCGAGGATGCGAGAGCGTCACCGGGGCCGCACCGGGGGCCCCTCCAAGCCCTCTAACACTCCTTCCCCGGCAACTCCCCCATCCCCAGCTCAACCCCCGCTGCCCTCCCGGGGGGGCTCCCCCCGCCCCCTGTGCACTGCACAGCCGGGGCAGCCCCCGACACTCATGGGGGTCCCCCCGCCGGGCTCTCCCCGCTGCTTCCGGCCCCGCCCCGAGAAACGCTAATCAACGGCGCGCAAACGAGTCATTATGCAAATATCGCCTGATCCCAAAACCGCCCCGCCCCCTGGGGGTGGAGCCACCCAGCCCCCAGACAGAGACTCCCGGCGCCGTGACGTTATGTACGCGTTTTATTTCTTAATTCCCGGATTTGGTTAAAAACACCTTAAAACAGTTTCCTCCCCCCTCCCCCGCGGCCCAGTATGCCCGACCCGGCCCGTGGGGCTTAAATCCTCACGTTAACCCCCCAGCACACAGCCCAGCCCCCCGCCCGGCACCCCCGGGTCTCCCATCGAGGGGGCGAGGGCAAGAGCAGGGAGGCTGTGCCCCACCGCCCTGAGTCACTCCCGGGGCCCCGATAAATGGCAGCCAGACTGCTTCCCCATCTCACCCCATCCCTGCAACACCGCCTATGCCTGGAACCACTCCAAAACAACGGTGGAAGTCAAAAACAGATGCCTCCCCATCCCAGGGACCCCACCAGCATCACCTAGGCCCAGTGTGACACCCCACAGCTCAGTCAGAGTCTCTGAAGTCAGTGAGAAGCATCTCGTGGCCATAACTTCAGTAGTGAAATTCCATCTCCATCACAGTCAGGGTGAGAGCCCACTCAAGCGTGCAGAGCTCCCCATCCTCCTCGCTAGAGCTCTCTGAGGAAGAAGGGCTGAACTCCTGCAGCAGAGGAGGGAGGATGAGCCCCGGTCTCCCACCGCATTGCATGGCTGTGCCGCACCCAGCCCAGCCCAGCCCCAGGACTTGCCACCCCACTTACAGTGGGCATCCTCAGCCGCTGCTGTCTGTGCGGTGGCAGCCGTCTGGTGGGCAGCTCGTGCAGGTAGATGCAGTCGGACCTGAATGGGCAGTAGCCACGGTTCCGAACAAAGAATTTACACCTGATTTTCCTGCAGGATTCCAAGCACAGTTGTGAGTGTGGCTCCCAGAGCAGCCCACAGCCCTGCCACCCGCAGTTCCACGCACTCACCCTGTCCGTGCCTTGAAGGTTCTGATGAGTTTCTCCTTCTCACCTACATCTGAGATCCAGTATTTGTGGGGGATATAGTAACTGGAGGTGATCCGGCACTCTGGGCAGGCCCTGGGTGAAGGTGATGGGTGCAGATAGGTGTCTCAAAAGTGGAGCAGGGAGCACAGGTGCAGCACCCACGCAGGGTGGTCCTGCTGCCATGGCCTCATCCAGTATCCCCATCCCCACTCCCAAGGAAGTGTTCCCAAAGGAAAGTCATGCCAAGACCCAAGGAAGGATTTCAGAGTGCAGAAGGGGTGACGGTGACTACCCTCCATTGTCCCCATCCCCACTCACTTTATGACTGTGCTCTGGAAATCCCGACTGCGACGCCACTTGCGGATGCATCCCACACAGTATGCGTGGCTGCAGTTTGGGAGGATCCCGAAGAGCCGCTCCTCTGGCAGCGGCTTCTCGTACACCCTGTCCATGCAGATGCCACACACCACAGCCTCACTCTGGGCTCTCAGTGCCTCGGTCGGGACTGGGGCAGCCGCAGCACCCAGCTCCACAGAGACCTGCACACAGAGAAGCAAAGCATGGCAAACCCTGACTCCATCACTACCCTGGCCTTGGGGAGTGCCCGGCCACAGGACACCCCCAAACCCACCTCTGCAGGGTCAGTCCCCGTCGCCATCTCCACCACTCTCTCTCTGGGGTCAGAGGAGTCTGCATCCAGTGCCAGCCCTTGTAGCTGGGAGCCTGCAGACTCTTAGAGGGGAAAAGCACATTCCAACCCACCATCAGAGAGCCAGGCAAGCTGCTTGGAGCATGCAGCCTCAGCAGTGACAGTCTCCTGGAGAGCTGTCCACAGCCCCAGCTTGGCTGAGGTTTGGGTCACGGGCAGAAACATGCATAGGCTGCTCCACCACGACCACCCCAGTACCCTCAGCCCCACTGGTTCCCCCGGGCAGCCTAGCACCTACCTGAGGCACGCCGAGCACGTGCAGGAACAAATTCTCCACCAGTGGCCCCCCACTGGATGCTACCAGGTGCTGCGACTTTCTTCTTGTCTTTCTCTTCCACCTCAACCTCCATGTTTGGGAACTTGAAGGTCACATGTGTCACGCTGGGGGCAGGGTAGCCTGAGGTGCGCTGGGCTCCCACCCAGCCCTGGGCCATGGCCGTGGGCACAGTGCCAGGCTCTGGGCCCCAGTGGGAGGAGGGCATGGAGGGATCCAGGCCATAGCGGGATGGCACCAGCTCCTCCTGGATATGCTGGTAGCTGGAGGAGCCCAGAGACAAACAGACAGAGAGTCCCATTAGCCCAGCATGACTCCTCTTGGCTTCCAGCCCATCCTTGGGGCATCAGACTCCTGCTCGCTGCCCCTTACCTGCACTGCTCTCCATAGCTGCAAAACCCACTCTGGAAGTACCTGCAGATCGGAGCTGAGTTTCTGTCATGTGAGAAGCGGCAGCTCTGGCCCCATCGACAGGATCCACGGGCAAAATTCCTGTTGGCCAGAGGATCCACATAGCTGGGGTCAGATCCCACTCCAGCCTTGCTCCACTAGACACCCTGACATCCCTCCGGGTACCAGGTTTGTCTGGGTGAAGCCATAACTTGGAAGACCCCCACTTGGTGTCTGGGCTTGGGAGCCCCTGCCAAGGGCAGAGCCCGAGGGGAGCCAGTTCTCTCCCAGCCCCATCCAGCCTTCTCGTCTGGTTAATTGCAAAGCAAAATAAGCCTAGGACTGGGCTGGCCTGGGGGCTCTCCCCGGGGCAAGCCAGGGGTACTGAGGGCTGGGGCAGCCCCTGGCTCCCTGTGGAGCCATGGAGAGTGGTAGGAGCCCTTAGCTTGACAGGAAGGAGGTGCCTGGCTGGAGTGTTTCTGGGGGCCTCCAGTTCCGGAGGTGGGGCAGCTGCGTGGGGAAATGGGTGGGGGGTGGCTCAAGGGCATACCAGTCCACACTCTGCCCCCACGGCAGGGGGCAAGTGGCCCCATCTCAAGCCTATCTCCCCCAAAAGCTGCTCCCAGCCCTCCCGACCCCAAGCCTTTACCTGCACAGGGGTCTCAAACAGCCCCCCCTGGCTGTTAACCTTCCAGATGCCGCCATCGATCCCGACTCCATCTCTTGTTCCCCGGCAGCCAAGAGGGCTTGGCCGCTTCCCACGGCTATTTATGGCCTCAGGTGTGTCGTGGGTCCTCCTGGGATTTCTCCCCTCGTAGCCGGGTCCGCGCTGCGATTTGGGCGGAAGACAAGCCTGGACAAGCCCGGGCTGATAGCACTCGAGTGTGTGAGCATTGTTTACTTTAAGTCAAGGACTTTTCAGCTCCTCTTGCTCCTGAAGTGAGAAGCCTGGTGGGAGGCACCACTCCAGTGTGCATCACTAAATTCTGTATATTCTAATTCTTTTATCATTACTATTTCCTCTTTTTTTTTCAGTCATCTTAAATTATCTTTATCTCAACCTATACATTTCACTTTTTTCTCAGTTCTCGCCCTCATCTCACTGGGAAGGGAGGGAGTGAACAGCTGGGTGATGTTTTGCTGCCTGCTGGGTTAAACCATACAAGGTCCCCAGCCAGGTACCCTGGATCACATGCCCAGCAGTACCACGGCTCCCTGTGGAGCCCCCGTTCATCCTTCCCATTCATCAGGCCAGCTGCATGGGAGAGGTGGGGGACAGTGCAACAGCTTCTCCCAGGGACACTTAAACCAGGGAGAGGGAAGTCTGGGCATCTTGCAGCTGCTCTCTGCAAACTCTCAGGTGTTCAGACACAGCCAAGGGCAGAGCCCAGAGCTAGAATGTGGCCCAGCTGTCCCAGAGCCCATCTTTGCCCATCTTGGGGTGGTTTTGGCCAAGCTGAGCTCATTGCCCAGCTCTGCAAGCATTTGGGGCAGGAAGCACCCAGCTCTGAGACCGAGACCCTGCTCAGAAATGGCTCTTTCTGCTGCCTTTAGTTTGCAGGCAGGAAAACAACATGAGCTATGAGCTCTAGGAATAATGGAGACCCGGGAATCATGGCAAATCCCTGGAAATCACAGCAAATCCCATCACCTCTGCTGGAAACCCTCCCATGGGCAGCCCCCCCCAGGTGCCAAGAGAAATCCCAAGAAGACAGGCTGGATGCAAAAAAGTTCTTAAATATTTAGTTCAGATTTATTTGAAGTCAAGTCAGTTTGTGGACACTATATTATTAAAAACACTTGGAGGTTTGTACTTCTAGCAAAAATATACATTTCAGTTTGAAGGTTGTTACACTGTTGAGGAAGGAAGAGCAAAAAGTTCCCCAGGTGATGGGCACAAGTCCTGCATGTGACGGTGGTGGGGATGCTTTGGGAAGGACAAATCCCCCCGGCTCCATCCAGCACACACGCATGTCTCCAGTGCCTTCCCCAGTGCCTTCCCCCAGAGGGCTTCAAAGTGCTTCAGAAATGGTAATTCCTAACACTCCTGCGAGGTAGGGAAGGGGGGGGCTGGGCAGGGAAACTGAGGCACAGCAAGGGGCTGGAGTGTGGCAGCAGGGGCAGGTTTGGGATCGACAGCCCTGTGATGGGGTGGGGAAGCCCAGTGCTCTTCCCCTTTGAGTTTTTTAAAGGACTTATTGCACCAGGGAAATCTGCTACCCTGAAGACGAGGAAAGTAAAATAAAACCAACTAATTTGCTCTCACAACTGCTCCTTGGGAATATCAGTATTTCAATAAGGCTGCTCAGGACACACAGGACCAGGAGCTGCAGATAGGTAAGTGCTATGTCTTAGGTCAGACACCATTACCCCAAGAGGGAAACTGAGCCCTTCCCGGGTCCATCCTCTCCCCTCGAGCCCAGGAGACGCAGCCCTCCACACTGGGCACCCAGCCCAGCCCAGGCAGCACTATGGCGTTTCACTACAGCTGCAAGAAGTTATGAGGTAAAGTCCAACTATGGTGCTGGGTTTAGGCAGACCCTGAAGCCTGGAGCTGTCCCAGCTCTCAGAACAGTGGCAGAGGAGGACCAGCAGCTTCCGTGACCTGGCTGTGCTCTCTGGGAAGCTCCTGCCCATTGTGAGCATCCCACTCACTCCATCCCAGTTTATAAATCCCTGGCATTTATACTGGGGTTTACAGCTGTAAAGCTCTTTGCAACCAATGCACTAAAGGATCCTTTTGCTCCTCCTTGGAGCAGAGAGCCAGTGACAATCCAGGTCCCTTTCACAAGGGAAACTGAGGCAGGACACCAAACCCTGACCAGCCCAAAGCCCCTGACCCTGCACAGACCTTTTTAGTAACTTGTATCTATGCAGAACAGCCTGTGGAAGCCACAAGTTCCAGCCTCTGCTGTGAAGGTGAATTTTAACGAGTCAAATCCTTGCCCTCCCACCTCCCCATCCCTCCTCTCATACTGAGGTGCTAAGGAACACATTTCCTCTGGAATGAGGGTGCCAGGAGCAAAGGCTCCCACACAGCACTCAGGAAGGCAGAGCTCACACGGTCCCTCTGGGAGACAGGAACACACTGCACAGAACAGGGGGCTGCTGCTGAGGGTCCCTGCTAGGACAGCCCTACCCGTGTTCAAATACTCTGGCTTTTCTTTGGGAAAGAGAGAAACATCCTTTCACATCACAACTGTCCCAGACTTCACGGCTCAGGACTGTGTCTTCGGAGTGCAAACGAACAAGAAAATACAGACATGCTGTAAGTGCTGCTGCTGGTCCCACCGGACCCCTGCACCTCGCTCGGGTCTCCTAAGGACCAGAGCTCCTCCCACCTTGGAGACCTGGGGTGCTGTAAGAACCACACTGCCTGTGCCATGTAAACCGGGTGGCCGCTCCAGAGGCCCGGGGAACAGCTGGAGCTGGGCCGCAGTAATGGAAACAGCAGCTGCGGAGATTTGTTAGTGTGTGTTAACGGAAGCCCTGGCCGAGCAGGAGGCAGCTGCAAATTGTGACAGCATCTTGCCCTACGTACCGTATGTCAGGGTCACGTAGAAAAGAGTTTCCAATAGAAGAAATGGAAGACACAGGGAAGGGTTTTCTTTGTTTCTGTACGAAGAGTCTTGATGGGAATCCATGGCTTCATTCTCATAAATAACAGGTCCTCAGTACATGTCCTTGTAGATCTCCTGCAGAAGCGGGTGCAGAGATGTCTCTGTCTCTGTCTTCTTGATCTTCTGCACCAGCTGGGCATGCTCCGTCACCAGCTGCCGCAGATCTGCCATCTTCTGCAGCAGCTTGGGGAAAAGGTACTGAGCATCTGGGTGGTTGGCCTGTAGGTGAAACTCCAGCACTCGCAGGATGTTGTCTTGGATCTCCTCCACCTGCTTCACATTCATCAGGCCAGGACGGTCTGTGGAGAGGAAGCATGGTAGCTGCAGGGTCATGGGGCAGCCCTCCAAAGTACATGCTCCTCCTGGGGAAAGGAAGCTGAGGATTGTATCCCACCCACTGTGACTCAAACCTCATCAGCTAGAAAGGGGAGAAGTGTACCCTTTGACAGCCCTCTCTGAACCACCTCTAAGTAAGGAGGACTCTTCCTGACTCTGGCACGGGCGAGGGCCCCCGCTCACCTCCGCACAGGATGATGGCTGCCACAAACAGGGACAGGTCACTGTCATCCAGCTCCAGCGCATTGAACTTCACCGCAAACTCAAATTTGGGCTCCATAATCTCATTGAAGGGCTTGCGCAGGCTACGCAGGAACTCACGGGTCACGAAGCCGTTCCCGTTGGCCACCAGCAGCCCATCCTTGTTCATGATGGAGGCCAGCATGGCGAAGATGGCCTCGTGCACCCCGTACTTGAGCAGAGTCACTTGGTCGTTCAAGTAGAGGCCTATGAAGCTGGGGATGCTCTTGGCAAACTCTGTGAGCTCCCGCACAGTCTCCACCGTGGTGCACTGGCAGCGATAGAAGACGTGCACCCCGATCTCCTTGTAGGGGGGGATGCCATTCACCAGCTGCTTCCACACCAGCCCCTTCTCTGCCTGCCACAAGGTGTCCATGTCATGGATCACAAAAGGCTGCTTGAACAAGAAGGAAGTTAGGAGTCTGCTGTGGGAACTTGAGGTGCCAGCTCTGCCCAGGACACTCATGTTTGTTTGTCTGTCCCTGTGCTGTTCCCTGCCTCTGGGACAGACAATGCTCAGGCAATCTGCACCCACCACCATAGCACAAGTCTGCACAGCAATGGGACTTTTCCTAGCGAGGGGCAGGACGTGCAGGGCCCACCTAGCTGCAGGTGGAAACCGGTGCATGTGGAACAGCTATGGCAGGAGGGAAATGTGCAGCATCCCCCAGAGAACAGCCCTCTGTACTGGCCATGGCCAACCCCACCTGCCCTGGGAGGGAACTTACTGGGGTGCTGCTGGCCTTCCCGGTCAGGATACCTCTTGCCTTCTTTTTGGTCATGTTGAAATTCTTCAGGTAGGCATTGTAGATATGCTTGGAGAAAGCTTTCAGGTCGGCCACCTGCGGGTTCTGGCAGCCGATCTCGTTTGCCGTCAGCCCTGCCACCAGCTTTCTCTTCTCTGCCTCTGGCATGCGCCCAAAGCGGATTGCTGGGGGGGCAAAACCAGTGGGTCAAGACAGGGGGGTGACTCCAGGAGATGCACCCAGAGAGGCAAAAGGTTGTTCTGCCACCGCAGACGGACAGGTCTGCTGGTGAACACCTGCACAACACAGTGCTTCTCCAGGATGCAGCTCCTCCAGCACTGGCACCTTCATGAACCACTCATTGCTGCTTCCCTCACACTGAACTCCCATCCCACTCCTCTGGGCTCTTTCACAAACCCACATAAAGACCTTTGCTTGGTCATGACCTAGATGGTTACACCAGAAGTTTTAAAATCCTGGCACAGAAGAGCAATCTGTGTGTCCACTTCCCTCTGGGCCAGTTCGTAAGGCACAGCCACGTGCCAGCAGCTGTCCTGCATGGTGGGAATGAACAGCCCCTTCTCGTATAGAAGACGGGGTTTAAGAGTCAAAGGCTTGAAACATTGGGTTTGAATGATCCCTTGGCAAGGAGAGCCATGGGCTAAAGCACAGCCTACCATATGCACCCTTCATAGGAGAGCAGCTGGTCCCATGTCACCCAGTCAGTCAGGCCTGTGGTCAGCAGTGACACTCACCATTGTGTGACATGCCCAGGGAGAGGCATTTCTGGAAGCGGCAGTACTGGCACTTGTTTCGATTCTTCTTCTGAATCTTGCAGCTCCTCTCACACTTCTCATACTCCAGCTTCATGCGGATTGTCCGGCGGAAGAAACCCTGCAGGCAGGGAGCAGGGAGACATGGAGCAGCAGCGCTAGGGCCTGTGTTTTGGGACCTGGCTGGTTTGTTAACCCCAGGAGCCTCAGCGAGGTTCAGGCAGGTGAGTAGGAGGAGCCCTGGGTCTCTCTGGTGCAAGCAGAGTTGCTGTCCCAAGGAGAGGTTGTGCAGTGGGAGAAGGGTACTGCAGAGGAGGAAGTGTGGAGGTCAGCCCCTGGCCCGGTGCTGTGTGACAGTGCCAGCAGCCAGCAGGGAGGGACAGAATCATAGAATCAACCGGGTTGGAAACGACCTCCGAGATCATCAAGTCCAACCTTGATCCAACACCGCCATGGTTACTAGACCATAGCACTAAGTGCCTCATCCAGTCTCACCTTAAAAACCTCCAGAGATGGTGAATCCACCACCACCCTGGGCAGCCCATTCCAATGTCTGATTACTTTATCTGTAAAAAATTTCTTCCCAAACCGCTTTTCTTTGGAGAAACAAGCCATGAGCCAACCCTGGCCTGCAGGAACATCTGGCAGGACCTGGGCTGCTAACATATCTCTGCTGGATCTGCTGTTGGGGAAAGAATTCCAGAAGCACATCCAAGCTGCAGCCAGTGATCCCAGGGGGATAAACACACAGCTCAATGCTGATCTGTGGCACAGAAACCAATCTTTAAAAGCAAACTCAGGGGCCTTGTGGGGACAGATGGATTTGCCTTTCAAAGTAAAGCATGACAGCGCAAAATTTGGGCCATACAGGTCTCAGGCACCTTCCCAGGGCACCACTTGCTGCCTGCCTGTACTTGCCACACTCTCTGGACAGGTTTTTTACACTTACTCAATCCCACATCCCTGTTTTGCTGCAAATCTGCTTGTTTGAGGAGGCAGCCCAGTCCCTGGGGTCTAAGCCCTGCTTGGTGCAGCTGAGCCCAGCCCTCTCCACGGACGCACCTTGCAGCCCTCGCAGGCGTGCACGCCGTAGTGGAACCCCGAGGCTTTGTCTCCGCAGACTCTGCACTCCACGTTCAGTGCTCCCAGGGCTGCCTCCTCACAGCCCATCTGCAGCTGGTCCGACAGCGAGGGAGAGGAGCTCTGCGACATGTCTGCAAACACACACAGGGACGTGTCCTTCCATGTTACAGCCACAGGCCTAGCACCTGGTGTGGCCAGCTCTTCCAGTCGTGGGGCTGAGGAAGGATTTCCAGCCCTGTCCTGCCTGCCACTGCCATAGCAGCTGGCTAGTTACCAGGAATCAGACACTGGCTCCAGGCAGATTCCAGGCATTCATGCCCAGGCAATGAAACACAACCAGCTGACTTTATAATCCTTGGTTGGCTAGCCACTGGCATAGGGCTGCCCAGCTGGAATGTCCAGGGCTCTGGAGGAGCCTCTTCAGCAGCCACAAACCTTCTCTCCCAGCTCCTACAATCACTTTGCACTGAGGACTTCAAAAAGTGTCCAGGGAAGCATTTCCAGGCACCCTGGGAGGCCCCTTGCTCTGAGGCACAATGTTACCTGTCTGTCCTTTTCATTTCCACTCCACAACCCATTGCCAATGGCTGTGCAGTGACTGCAGAGCAATAAGTAAGCCTCTCCATAACTTGGCTATTGGTGCATTATTTCATAAAGGGAAGAAATTAAAACCAGCTGAACTCCATTCACAGACAGGTCCTCTGCCCTTGCAGCTGAGCACGCTGCCTGCAGGCTGTGGATGCCTGTATGCTCTGGGGGCAGACGAGCTCCCATGGCTCCACTTACCTGTGTAGCTGCTTGAAGGCAGTGAGCTGTCTGGTCCTCCAGTTGGGTCCAAGGCTCTGCTTGCCACCATCACTGCCTCTTCCTCTTCCTCTTCCTTGACCTCAGGTACTTCCTCCTGTAGTTGTTCCATAATTGATCACCCCTCAGTGCCAAGACTGCAATCCCTGTCATAGCTCTGGCATCATCCGAGTCTATCCGAGATGGACCCCACCAGGCTGTTCCTACTAGCCTGCAGGACACGGGAGAGAGGCCAGGGTCAGTGCTGAGTGCCTGCACGGAGCAGCTCAGCAGCAGGACAGTGTGTCACCAGCCACACCAGTCCTGCTCTGCGCTTGCTCCTCAGCCCGTGAGACGTGCAGAGCTGGGGCCCTTTAAAGATCCCTATGCACTCACTCTAAGACTCAAGGAAGCAAAAGATCACAGAATTGTATTTAAAGGCCAGCAGACAGAACCCAGACAACAAACCAGCTCAGATGCCACCCAGGGACCCGGGGTCCCCAGCTTGCAAGTCCCATAGCAGAAACACTGCCCCAGAAAACGTCCCCCAGAGCCGCCAGTGCCCTAGGATGTCACTGTGGCAGCCAAGGCCAGGGTCTTTCAGAGCCAACACCTTCAGAAGGGCCAAGGTAGGGGTGGCTTCACCCTACATCCCCACACAGCCACGGCAGAGCTGGGACCAGGAGCAGCGGCTGACCAGGGTGCTCTGTGCCCTTGGGTGGGGGATGCTGGGGGAGCAGGGCTCGATGTAGCAGCAGGCAGTGGCTTAAAAGCCCCTGACTTGTGTGAGCCATCTGCAAGACCGATGGCTTCCTGCTGGCCCTGTGCTCGTGCTCCTTTCCATCACAGCACTGCCAGTTACAGCCTTTGTGTTTGTTTTCACTTGGTTCCTCTGCCAAGAGCTGCCGGGCTGTGCTCAGCCACGGGGTCCAGCAGCACAATCCCAACGGCCTCACAATCCAACCAGTGTCTTAATCCTGGGTTTCCTGTGGGAGGAATGACCCGTCCTCCCCCCGCGCGCTTCCGCTCCTTGTTTGCCTTACTCTATCCCAAAGAGCCCACGAAAAGCTCAAGCTGTGCAAACGATGCATCACCACTACCACAGCCATTGCAGAGCCATTCCCACCTCCCTCCCAACCATGTGGATCTCGCCTGAGCACCCAGCTTGTGCTGTAACACCCTGGTGCTCATTTACCTCCAGATCTCGATTCCTAAACTGACTCTTGCTTGAGTAATTAGTATCTCAAGGCCAGTTCATGTAGAGGTCCATCCACTTCCTTAAAGGAGCTATTTTTAAACAGAGAAATATCCATCAGGAAAGCCACTAAAATTCCTGTTCTTCCAGGAAAGCCTCAATTTGCAGGCCCAAGTTAAACCAATGCAGCATCTCACAGGGGCCTCATACAAGGGCAACCCTGAGCTCTGGGATGGTCTGTGCCCTGTGCCCAAGTCCATGGCACAGCCCAGGGAGGGGCTGGGGGAGGGCAGCAGAGATCCAGGATTCCCTGGGCTCATTTGCCCTCCTGCAGCAGACCCTCATGTGTCACACTTTGAACTCAGAGCTGCAGCCAGTTCCTCGGATTCCTGGAAAGCTGTCAAGGTCAGAGCTCCCTGCAAGATCAAGGAAGCAACTGAGGGAGAGGACAAAACCTGCAGGTGGGAGAGTGAGCACAAACATGTTGCAAAGCCAGGACACAAGTCACCCCCAGAGCTGGTGCTGCACAAAAGCCTGGGTCTCCCACAGCCAGAAGGGCTTTGCTTTTCCCCCACTACACTGGGAATGCAGACTGCAGGACAGGTGTCTTTGTTTCCAGGAGAGGTACTTTAGTGGTGGCTGTGAGCACACTCCATGGTGGCAGGAGCAGGCAGAGGGGTGCTCCCTTCCCGAAGGAGCACTGAGGGACCATTGAAAGGCTGTGTTATCCTTGGCCTCCACTAACAAATCCAGCGCAGTGGGACATGGCACACAGGCAGGAAAACCTTTTCAGTGGAGATGGAAGGTAATGAGCTCAATCATTTTCAAGGTTATATATAAATGAACATACAAACGTCAGGGAAACACTTTTGCCTGGAAGAGCAGTTAGTGAGGGAAGCTTGTGGCAGGAGAAACTCATCTACAGTGGAAAATCCATCCTGCAGCAGCTTAATGAGCAGCTAGCTCATTACATCCCTTTTGTCCCTGGCATCACGCTTGGGCCCCTAGCTTTAAACCCAGCGCTGACAGAGCTCTCTGCTTTGCCCCAGATGCCTCATGGCATACTGTTGTTGGAATAACATGAGGGCATCCCTGGCATGCTGTCCTCCATCCGCCAGGTCTGCTCAGGGCCATGGGCTCCCAGGGTGGCAGTGAGTTTGTGACATGCAGCTTGCTCCCCAAAACCCACCAAAGCAACTCCAAAACTGTGCTTGGAGTCAAGACTTGGACAGGCTTAGGAGGGGGAAAGCAGAGGGTGAGATGTGCACAGACTGCATCGAGGGGCTCCAGCTAGGGCTCCCCATGTGCATGCAGGCATTACAGGAAGGATATGGATGCTAATCCCACCCTTTAAGGGTGGCTGGAGAGGCAGAGAGAGAAAAACTTTTATCAGAAGGCTCCAAACATATTCTTTGAATATCTCTTTGCAGGCCAAGAGTACAAGGGGCCTGGGCAGAGGAGAGCTGTGGGGGCTGTTTGCACACCTGCCTCTCCCTTAGCCCTTCCCCCGTTTTCTAAACCACAGGGATAGAGGGAGAGGACTGGGAAAGAAGACTGATCTCTCATGGAAGGCTGCACCCCCTGCCTTTGGCAGATGAAGGTCCAGAGCAGCTACAGCCTGGATAAAGGGCTGTGCACGGGCCATGCCTGTGCACCCTCACAAGGAACCAGTGGCTGGGCAGGGCTCCTGGTGAGAGAGGGACCCCAGCCCTCAACCCTGGGCCAGGGGCAGCAGCCAGCAGGGTGGCAGCAAGCAGAGACTGTGGAGATTCACCAAGAATTCACATGCTCCCCTCCATTCCTCTGCAAGCCCTGCAGTTAGAATGGGGGGGTCCTGGGGAGCTGGAGCTCTCCAGAGGTTTGTCCAAGCTCTCTCTCTCTGAGCACAAGGAGGGACCTGCCCTGCCAGCACTGCAGCATGGAATCTTTGTGCGATAGCCCTAGAGATGACAGAGGATGGCCAAAGAACCGATCTCCATCCCAGGACCTCTCCAGCTGTTCGGTGCCCCCACATCCAGTGGTCAAGTGGACAGAGCAGGATCAGAGATAACTCGATCTCCTCCTCTTGGTTATGGAGTCCCCCACCAGAGCACAACACACAAGCTTCAAGCTGCAGGGAGAAAGGCAGAGATTTCTGCCCAGCGTGGCCACCCACTCCTTTTTGCCGTCCGGCAGCTGTCACAGAACAGTGGTGGAAACAAGGATGAGAACTGTGAATTCCTTCCTAAGTTTCTCCAGAGAATCCCGAAAAGCTGTTTCCCTTCCTCTTCCCACAGGATGGGAATGAGCAAGAGGGCAAACATCTCATGACTTGCTCTGCTCTTGCCTCAATCCCTGTTCCAAGGAGCTTTGGTAACCCTGGCTGAGCTAGCAGCTCCCTCCCAGGAGCCTGCAGCCAGCGGAGGGAGGGCTCATTTGCTGGCTCTGGGCTTGGGCTCATGCCTGCTGGCTGCAAACAGCTTGGGCAACAGGTTTGTCTTTCCTAGAAGCTGGCATCTATGCCAGGCTAAAACACTGGTGGGAACAGGGAAAGAGACGTGGCACAAAGGAAGCTAAAAAAAACAGGAATAAAAACTAAAAGGAGATAAACCTTCAGTGTGGATTCCCTGCAAGAAGGCAGTACTTCTCCAGAGCTGACCAAGATCCAAGCCTCCAGTTCATCAACCCACAGCTTGTGCCCCTGTGGCCCAGGAGCTCGCCACGGATGATTAGTGCGTAAACTCCGGAGCCAAGCTCAGAGTTCCCAGGCAAAGCCAAGCACCAAAGAAAGGTCCAAACCTCCCAAGGTCAAGTCACAGAGTTGATCTGCTCTAAGTAGTTTTTCAAGTTACTGTAAAAGAGGTCACCAAGAACTGCAAAAGCAAACCAATTTATCATGGGAGCACTTCTGACTTGTGTTTTTATTCCTCTGGACAAAAACGTTAGCCATATTCACAGCCAACAGAAGCAGAGTGGGTGAGATGAGAACTCAGTTGTCTGTAGAGCAGTGCTGTGAAGCCCATTTTGAATCCAAAACTGACCTGAATCCATACAGGAGATGTGATTGCTGCTGGTTGACCACCTCTTGGCACACTCCCCTCAGGTTGTGTCACTGCTTCCAAGATCTGCCGAACAAGTACCAGTTCCTGTTCCTCCTCCTACATGTCAGCTACCACTAATAAAAGCCAAATAAGAGCTAAGCAGATGCTGCAATACAGGACAGGTAACTAAGTGTACAAAACAGGAGAGACAAACACTGAAAACATGTTTGTGTTTGTTCCTGGAAGAACAGCATGCCCCCACGTTAGCCAATGAGATCTCAGCAGCACTTACTAGACAAGTGCTTCCTCCCTTACTCAAAGTCTTGGCCACAAGGCAGTCTACACACAGAAATAGACTACTAGAGCTAGATAGACTCTTCCTTGCTACACAGCCCTGAGCAGGATGGACATTCTGGACCAGATTTTTCCCCTTGAAGCATTTGCTCAGATGTTGGGCCATGCCCCAGAGTCCAGTCCTGTGATTCTCTCTCCAAGGCTGACCACCTGCATTTCCCCAAGCATGAGCCCAGCTGACTAAGCAGCAGGGTGCTGCCGGAGTTGCCATTACCATGCTGCTTCTAATTACTCAGGGACATGTGACACAGGGTGCAGGAGATTCCCTCGATTGCCTTGAGAAGCCAGGCTTGCCAAAATGAATCACACATATACTGCATGTTTTAACTCACCCACTTCCTGGGCATTGAGGGGAAAAAAACCTAACTTGCTAAAAAACTCAACAGACTCTTCTCCTTTCATATCATGACTGATGCTGTTACCCAAAACCAGGTCACAGCACTTTGCTGCAAAACGAACTGCTTTCCAACCTGCGCTGGGTTTGTTAAGAGCGCAAGAGGTATCACAGACATAGGAACAAATAAGACTTTGGGCACTGAACTCTCAGCCACGTGCAAAGCAGGGTCTGCCAGGCTGCTTGTCCTCCAGGAGTCGCAGCCAATTCCTGGCTCCAGCAGGTCCAAGCATGAATAAGATATGCTCTGAAATCTAGAGATGGTAGATTAGTGGGAGACAGGGGAATCATCCCTCCACATCTTCCCAGCAGAGAGACTCCCTGCCTTTATCAGGCTCCACGGCTGCCACTGGCAGACGGGCAGCAGCAGGACATGCAGAGAAGAGCTGCACAGTTGTTAACTCTTATTTGAAGTGCTGCTCCACAACCTTCAGCAAATCTGGTCAAGTCCCATACCTCCATTTCCTTCATCATCAAACAACTCCCAAACAAAACCAAGACTCACCACAAAAAAAGCAAACCTAGGACGTTCACAGTGCTTTATTCCTGATCCTCCCCTTGCTGTGTTAACTCACGGAGACAGCATGTTTTGGAAGTGCAGAGCAATCGATTAGTGCCAAACGTCATTGTTTATTCCTGTATTATGGATTTTGACACCTGTTCGCAGTCACACTCACAGGTCTGGCCTGCCCATCCCCAGTCAGCACCCCATGCTTCTCGTGACCATCTTCTCCTGTTATGCATTCCTGTACGAGGCATTTCCAGGATGGTTTTCAGCAAATAAATGGACACATCTCATTCTGACGACTGCTGACTGGTATCTGTGCTTTGCTGTCAACTCACACCAGCCCAGAGCACCCAAGGCCAGGAGGGGCATGTGGGTCTGACCCACTGGAACAACAGCAGCCAGGAAACAAGCAGGTACTGGAAAGGTGACACCACTGGGGCTTCTCAGCGCTGGAAACAGCATAGAAGTGCTGCTATTTGAAAAGACCACTAAGACTGGCAAGGAGAGAGAATCGAATCATCCCCCCACAGCCCAGGGCACAGGCAGAGGTGGCTCTGAAGCTGTGGTAATGCTTTGGCATCACACTGCAAACCCAGCACACGCATGCTAGAGAAGCTGTCTGGGATATACTCCCCCTTCCTTTACCATCCTGAAGGTGAGGAGAGGCTGGGGGGGTCAGAACTCACTGAACACTGTAAGATGATGCTTTCTCATACTGCTGAAGTCCTCTTGGCTGTACTCCAGGGCTGCTGGTTTGCTTAAGGACCTCTTGTCCTCCTGAACCTGAGCAGGACACGTGGAAGGATCTGGTTTCAGGAACATCAGTAATTATAGAACAGGGCTGATGAGGGAGGAGCTCACAGGAACAGCAACTTCCCAAGGCAAACACTAGGCACAGGGTGTTACAGACTCAGAGTAGCACTGAAATGGAACTCCAGGAAAATGGCAAGTGGAACAAGTTGTGGCTGCCAACAGGAGCGCTGCTGGCAGTCAGTGAGGCCATCGTTTGGCAGTGCTGCACACAACAAGACCCAGCTTAGCTTTCCCCAAAGTCTCAGTGTCACTGGGACAGCAGCAAGAGTCACCTCTGCTTTGGATGAGGCAATCAGCTCCCCAGAAAAGCAATAGGGGCAGAAAAGCAGCAGTGGGCCGATGTGTCTCTCAGGATCACACGCACGTGCATGCAGCCTTCTTTCAGGAGCCAAACACCCAACAGGCCCCTAAGTTTTATTGGTAGGCTGCCAGTGCTCCCAGATCCAGGAAAAAAACCACAAAACTAATAGCAAGCCTTCTCCTCTTTGCAGCAACAGATTTAGATCCCATGGGCTAACCAGGAAAAAAAAATAAATCTATCAGCCTGTAAATTTTGTTATGTTTACACTTGGACTCACAGAAAAGTGCTACTGGTTTTATAGACCTTAGCAAAATATCCTGGGCACCAGCCATGCTGCTCTAATCCCAGGATGCAGCTGACAGAGAGCAATTGTGCCCAGGCACAAGTTCCGATGATTCAGCAGGGCCAGGGAACACGTGCTAGGGAACTGAGATAGATCGAACAGATCACTGCATCCGCTGTAGCTCCACTTCAGCCACGGAGCAGGAAAACAGAGGGGTCCAAGTCTGACTGCACAGGTCTCCAAAGGGAAACCTCCAGAGAACATCAGAATCACTTTCCTACACAAATTAGTTCAACACCCTCTCAAGGAACTAGATGGGAATGCTGTTTCCTTACTATTTTTGGCCACATTCACATAGCAAGAGCTGGCTGCAGAACAGATTTCCTTGCACTTTCAGCAGCAAAATGAGCAGCAACCATGTCAGCATGATTCTGCCAAGAGTCACAGCGTGCTCTGACCATTTGAATTTCTGCACCAGCCCCCAGAAAACAAAACATTTGAGCAAAGCATTAATATCTTTTTTAACATCCTTGTGTCTTTGGCACTGTCTTGAGAGAACAGGGCGAGCTGCAGTGGTCCACAGCAAGCCAACGACTACCATTTCCCAACACAGCCAGCTGCTGGGAGCCCATTGGACTCCCCGAGTTCATGCTCACCAACAACTCTCTTCCAGAGATCCTCGTGTCCCTAAGTCCCACAACACAACACCTACCTCATAGACATAATAACCCATGGTCATTTTCAGAGATGTAGGACTTTGACCATCAGCCCTTGTGGGGTTAACAGCTTTCAAGGGCCAACATTAAAGGTGAAAAGCTGGCATTTTTGGAAATGTCCCAGATTGCATTATGACGAAACCAAGAGCTGCATTAAAAAAATGTTTGTAACAAATCAGTCAGGATAGAGATTTGGGCCTAGGTTCTCATCAGCAAGGTGGATGCACAAAGCATTGGTTATTTTGAAGCCATCTCAGTGGACCTCTCCTCAGCCTGACAAAGCCTTTCCTAAGGAGACATTCATTAGGCAGGCATGCGGTTCACAGTAAAGTCTGTCTTAACAGCCCATCAAAGAAACACTTCCCTATCAATTCATTTGCCCTTTCAAATCACCAGAACCATTCCCTGTCTCCATCCCACATCTCTGTTACCGGTTGAACATGCAAGTTCTGTTTTTTGCTATTCCAAGTTCCAGTTTGCAGGCCAGGGCAAACCAGGAAGTATAGCATGACGGGAACAATTCTGGTTAGCATGGAGATTACCTGGCCCAGAAATGGGCTCTGTTTTGACCCAGCACCATGTGAAATGTTCATGCTTCTGGCTTGTGCTTTCATTCTGCCACTTCCTCCTTGGTCATGATTCCCCTGTAAACCACAGCCTCCCCAAAACTCAAACCTTCAAGCAGAACCTGTCCATGGGGTCCCCAGGGAAGTACCTCGACAGGGAAGTACTTTGGAAACCTTTGCAAAGCCAGATGGAAAGACTTGACCCAAATGATCACAGATGTTCACAAGCTCTTTACTAAGCCTGGGAGGACACAGACATTTTCCAGATACTGTGATACAAACAGTGAATATTTCAAGAGCGTTTCAAGAAGTCATCCTGAAACTGAGATACATCTCAAGTCAGTTCTACTCTGAACCCTTCCTGAAATCAAGCAGGGCTCCGGTGAACATCACCCCAAAACACATATTTTGGTTAAGATACATTTCACAATCTCCTTGATGAAAAGGACTCATATTGGCATGAATCGTTCCACTCTAAACCCTGCTTTGGGAAAGTAACTTCCCAGGCATTCTGCCAAGGCAAGCACATTTCAGTGTATTAAAAAAAAAATAAAACTAGCTCTACAGAAAAATCTCAACTGTACTCACTACAGAAATGACTTCTGCTTGTCTAGACTTTCTCAGGGTCTCCAAAATTACTGTAGCAGGGCTAAGCAGTGTATCTCTGAACACAGACACTTCTAGAAAAGCAGAGATTGCTCTGCAGCACCTGATGAGAAGCAGTGAACACAGCCCAACAAATCCACAGGTATCAGTTTGTTCCTGCTCTAAGCAAGAAAGCCAATACAAAACATAAACCCCCAACATCGCTAAAATGCCATAGTCAAGGTAAGCCATCCTGGCAGCAAATAACCTTTCAGGCATAAGCACCGTAACATCATCTCACCCAATTAAAACATCATTTGCATGTCAGGTTCTGCTGTTCGAAGGAGACCAAAAGTCTCCTGTCGTGCCAATTCCGCAGTCTCAAAGAACATTTGCAGATTTTCAGCTCATAATTCAAAAGCCACAGACGAAATATACTCCAAAAGGCAACAAGATGTACTGTACAAAAATACATATTTGTCAAAAAGCATCACACAAAAGAGACAGAGCCCATCAACACCAGGAAGCAATTCTGTAAAACAATGCTCTTCTGATCAGCAAAGCCTCACGAGGCTCATTACAAAATCCTCTCCATATGCTGTGAAGATCCTTGGAAGTTTGTGTCTTGAATACCAGAACAGAGACAGCATAACAGTTGCACAAACTTGACACAGAAATCCACAACAGCTGAACACCTCAGACCTGTGTTGTGGCAAACACACACCCACAGCCACATGCAGACAGCCTCGGCATTGCTGGAAGCCACACACAGCGTCCCGGTGCGGTGACTTGAGTGAAGACTTCCAGGCATCACTCCAGAGGTCTGCAGGCAGGAGGGTGCCCTGCCCGCTCCCACTGACCACCTCCTCCAAACCTCCAAACCCCACAGCTCTGCTGTGACCCGCTCGGCTTTGTCGAGCACCAGCAGACGTCAGCAGTACCGCGCGTGTCGGATTGTTGCGGCCCTGGATCTCATGTGCCCTCCCCAACCCAACAAGAGCCAATTCCAGTCATAATCATCAGTGAAATAATGAAATATTATGTCACTTTGCTTTGACAAGCAAGAGCCAGCTGAGAAGAACAGGATTAGACCATGGTCCTCACAACCTACTTCTAAGGTAACTCATAAAGATCATATTCAGAAACTGAACAAAAATAAGGTGTAGAGTTTAAATTTACATTGAAATTTAAGAACATTTAAGCTCATGGACAAAAGTGAAACTTGCTGAAAGCAAACTGTTCTTCCCAGGCTCTTCCCTGTCCCAAGTTTATAGAAACACACGTAGGGTAAGTGCCTCGGTCAATTGCCTGCATGTGAAGGGAAAGGGTTACCTCTGTGGAGCTGCTGGTCCTTTCTGCCTGTTGTCAAAAGCCACCGCTCGGTCACCATGTCAGCACGGAGAGCCGAAACCTGGAGCAATCTGCAAGAGGACAGAACGCAGATTTCCACAGCTGTGCTGAAGGCTAGATATTTATGCTGCTGGGAGCACTGGGCTGGGTCCAGCAGCAGCTCTGAAATTTAAACACACACTCCCTCTACCGCATGCGGTCACAGCATCCGCCCCAGGACTGGGAGGTAGAGCAAATCCCCGGGTGTCCCAGCAAAGACAGCCCCAACTCCTCACCAGGCTTTCAGCATCGGGATGTACCCTTTGCCTTATGTCACCTGCAGTTAAAGGCTGATGACCCTGAGCTTTTATGACAATACATGAAGCTGATGCTAGAAAAGGGTCTGTGGTGGCTGTAAGGTGGCTTGTTTACTCAGCTTGCTTAATCCACCTTCAGGAGGCTGCCAGAAAGTTCCTGCAACTTTAATGAACTTCCCTCTCAGGTGGCTGAAACTTAAGGATTTGACAGAGTTCATTCACTCTTCTTGGTTTTCCTGATAACTTTGCATTATACGAATTTCAGGATCAGAACAGCAGTAAGAGACCAATGCTGGAAAAAAATGGCTTATGAGGCTTTGAACTAGAGGACTTAGAGAAAATATGTCCTATTTTTAGACAGTTATGCAGACTAACTGGACTAAAACATTAAACAAAGATGTTGTGAACATAATGCTATTTGCACCCACGTACCCTCCTTGACATTAGCCAGGCTTAGCTGCTCCTCCCACCCCAATGGAAGAGCCCTGTTTCCTATTGCTGCCCCCAACACAGGATGACTTGCGAAGCAGCCGAGCACCAGCAATAAACCAGTGTCACCAGCCCCCACCAGGACAGGCAGCTCGGCAGCGACCTGTGAGTGCTGGGCTGAGAGTAAGCCCCTGGTGTTGCTCGCCCTTCTGGCTCTGACAAGGCACCAGGAGCCGCAGCTGCTCAGAAGAGGATGAAGAAAGGATGCAAATCCTCTGCCCCAAAAGTCAAGGCTCCCAACACATTGGCCTGAGTGTGGTGGGTGTTCCCTACAGCACCAAGCAGATCAGGTACATCTACGATAGGGCACAAGTGTGAGATTCAGAAATACAGCCCAAGTCCCCTGCACTGGAGCATCACTCTCATCAGGACTGCCCGTTCTTGTGGTCAGTGATGTCAAAGTCACAGCTCCCTTTGCAGGCAGCGACTGCCCTCCTTCAGAAGCAGGGGCACCAGCCTCTGCCTCAGTGGGGCCACAAAATGGCCTTCAGGAGCCTCACTTTTGCAGCAGTACATTACAGCCAGAGCAGGTTCCTCATCCCTTCTCTCCCAACATGGAAGATAGTTTTTCTAAACAATTCTGACAAAATTTCTCCTTAACCTTCCTAATGAGGAACAATAATAAAGTCATTTCAGCCTCAGTGGCACATCAGGAATTGGCTTCCTCCACCTGCAGTAAAGCCCATCAGCATAGCCTTGACACTGTTAACGAGCGCTGAATCACACACAGGGAGTGCACAAATCACACCCTGAGCTCTCTCCCATCACAGACCAGGGCTTTGCAGCTGCTGCTGCCAGAGATTTGAGAATTAAAACTAAACAACTGGCTCACCTTGCCCCACTCATAGTTAAATGCCAGGACATGCCCATCACACCACTCACAAGGTATACTTGCACCAGCTCAGCAAGGCATGGAGCGAACCTGCCAGCACATCCTTCCTGGACTCTTCCTCTGATGTCCCTGGCTGACACATGGTAAGTCACCAGGAAAACTCCCACCTCAGCACAGCCTGGAGCATGTTTGTACAGAAGAGGATCCTCTGCCAAAGGCAGCAAGGGATTTGCATGGAGAGGGCTGGTGGAGAGGAGAGCAGAGCAGAAGCGAGAAATGGGACATGGGCAGCCTCAACCCACAGGTCACTGGTTTAGAGACCAACACTGCAACCGGCCCTGGGATTCCAACTCAGGAGCAGCCACAGCTCAGACCCCTCTGTATTGCCACGAGGGATGTTGGCCAGACCCTACAGCACATCCAAAGCTTTCTTGCCTCTCTGCCCACCCAAGCCGGTTCACACAGGCTTTTCCAACACGTGGGAGCTCAACAGACTGATTCCTTCCCAGAAAGCATGTCCTTTATCTGGGATCTCGGGGAAAGCGGGAGCAGAACATGGAGATATGAGGGATGGGAAAGGACTCTCAGATCCTTCTTCCTTGAGCAGCCCCTCATCAGACGCTCTGCTGACAGACCATCCTGACCCTCTTGCTTCTCCTCCTTCCAGCCCCAGACTCCAGCAGTGCCCCTCACTGGTACCCTCAATCCCCACCCCAATTCCCCTCTGCCACCTCATCCTAACACAGAAGATGGGCATTTCCCCTCAGCCTCCTCCCGTGTGGGCCACGTCCCATCCTCTGTCTGCCCTGATTTCCCAAGCAGGAACTACAGCCTGAACCAAGTCCCTGACATCCCCCGC